CAAAGCACGAGTATCCTTGTTGGTTAAAACATGAGTATCCTTGTTGGTCAAAGCACGAGTATCCTTGTTGGTTAAAACATGAGTATCCTTGTTGGTCAAAATATGAGTATCCTTGTTGGTCAAAGTATGAGTATCCTTGTTGGTTAAAACATGAGTATCCTTGTTGGTCAAAGCACGAGTATCCTTGTTGGTCAAAGCACGAGTATCCTTGCTTGTTAAAACATGAGTATCCTTGTTGGTCAAAGCACGAGTATCCCTGTTGGTTAAAACATGAGTATCCTTGTTGGTCAAAGTATGAGTGTCCGTGTTGGTCAAAGCATGAGTATCCTTGTTGGTCAAAGCGTGAGTATCCTTGTTGGTCAAAGCACGAGTGTCCGTGTTGGTCAAAATATGAGTATCCTTGTTGGTCAAAGCACGAGTATCCTTGTTGGTCAAATCACGAGTGTCCGTGTTGGTCAAAGCACGAGTATCCTTGTTGGTTAAAACATGAGTATCCTTGTTGGTCAAAGCACGAGTATCCTTGTTGGTTAAAACATGAGTATCCTTGTTGGTCAAAGTATGAGTGTCCGTGTTGGTCAAAGTATGAGTATCCTTGTTGGTCAAAGCATGAGTATCCTTGTTGGTCAAAGCACGAGTATCCTTGTTGGTTAAAACATGAGTATCCTTGTTGGTCAAAAGCACGAGTATCCCTGTTGGTTAAAAACATGAGTATCCTTGTTGGTCAAAGCATGAGTATCCTTGTTGGTCAAAATATGAGTATCCGTGTTGGTCAAAGCACGAGTATCCTTGTTGGTCAAAGCATGAGTGTCCTTGTTGGTCAAAGTATGAGTATCCTTGTTGGTTAAAACATGAGTATCCTTGTTGGTCAAAGCACGAGTATCCTTGTTGGTCAAAGCATGAGTATCCTTGTTGGTCAAAGTATGAGTATCCTTGTTGGTCAAAGTATGAGTATCCTTGTTGGTCAAAGCACGAGTATCCTTGTTGGTCAAAGCATGAGTATCCTTGTTGGTCAAAGTATGAGTATCCTTTTTGGTTAAAATATGAGTATCCTTGTTGGTCAAAGCACGAGTATCCTTGTTGGTCAAAGCACGAGTATCCTTGTTGGTCAAAGCACGAGTATCCTTGTTGGTCAAAGCACGAGTATCCTTGTTGGTCAAAGCATGAGTATCCTTGTTGGTCAAAGTATGAGTATCCTTGTTGGTCAAAATATGAGTATCCTTGTTGGTCAAAGTATGAGTATCCTTGTTGATTAAAACATGAGTATCCTTGTTGGTCAAAGCACGAGTATCCTTGTTGGTCAAAGCACGAGTATCCTTGTTGGTTAAAACATGAGTATCCTTGTTGGTCAAAGCACGAGTATCCTTGTTGGTTAAAACATGAGTATCCTTGTTGGTCAAAGCACGAGTATCCTTGTTGGTTAAAACATGAGTATCCTTGTTGGTCAAAGCATGAGTATCCTTGTTGGTCAAAGCACGAGTATCCTTGTTGGTTAAAACATGAGTATCCTTGTTGGTCAAAGTATGAGTATCCTTGTTGGTCAAAATATGAGTATCCTTGTTGGTCAAAGTATGAGTATCCTTGTTGGTTAAAACATGAGTATCCTTGTTGGTCAAAGCACGAGTATCCTTGTTGGTCAAAGCACGAGTATCTTTGTTGGTTAAAACATGAGTATCCTTGTTGGTCAAAGCACGAGTATCCTTGTTGGTTAAAACATGAGTATCCTTGTTGGTCAAAATATGAGTATCCTTGTTGGTCAAAGTATGAGTATCCTTGTTGGTTAAAACATGAGTATCCTTGTTGGTCAAAGCACGAGTATCCTTGTTGGTCAAAGCACGAGTATCCTTGTTGGTTAAAACATGAGTATCCTTGTTGGTCAAAGCACGAGTATCCCTGTTGGTTAAAACATGAGTATCCTTGTTGTTCAAAGTATGAGTGTCCGTGTTGGTCAAAGCATGAGTATCCTTGTTGGTCAAAGCGTGAGTATCCTTGTTGGTCAAAGCACGAGTGTCCGTGTTGGTCAAAATATGAGTATCCTTGTTGGTCAAAGCACGAGTATCCTTGTTGGTCAAATCACGAGTGTCCGTGTTGGTCAAAACACGAGTATCCTTGTTGGTTAAAACATGAGTATCCTTGTTGGTCAAAGCATGAGTATCCTTGTTGGTTAAAGCACGAGTATCCTTGTTGGTCAAATCACGAGTGTCCGTGTTGGTCAAAGCACGAGTATCCTTGTTGGTCAAAGCACGAGTGTCCGTGTTGGTCAAAGCACGAGTATCCTTGTTGGTCAAAACATGAGTATCCTTGTTGGTCAAAGCACGAGTGTCCTTGTTGGTTAAAACATGAGTATCCTTGTTGGTCAAAGCACGAGTATCCCTGTTGGTTAAAACATGAGTATCCTTGTTGGTCAAAGCACGAGTATCCTTGTTGGTTAAAACATGAGTATCCTTGTTGGTCAAAGCACGAGTATCCTTGTTGGTCAAAGCACGAGTATCCTTGTTGGTTAAAACATGAGTATCCTTGTTGGTCAAAGCACGAGTATCCTTGTTGATTAAAACATGAGTATCCTTGTTGGTCAAAGCACGAGTATCCCTGTTGGTTAAAACATGAGTATCCTTGTTGGTCAAAGTATGAGTGTCCGTGTTGGTCAAAGGATGAGTATCCTTGTTGGTTAAAGCGTGAGTATCCTTGTTGGTCAAAGCACGAGTGTCCGTGTTGGTCAAAATATGAGTATCCTTGTTGGTCAAAGCACGAGTATCCTTGTTGGTCAAATCACGAGGGTCCGTGTTGGTCAAAGCACGAGTATCCTTGTTGGTTAAAACATGAGTATCCTTGTTGGTCAAAGCATGAGTATCCTTGTTGGTTAAAACATGAGTATCCTTGTTGGTCAAAGCGTGAGTATCCCCGTGGCATCTGACGGACAGTGTTCCCCAAATACTGATGCTGACCCACATGGTACCAACCCTAACTCACTCTACTTTTTTATACATAACATGTGTGAAGAACTGAATGATAAACTGTTGGACAATACCTGGAGTAAATCTATGATTATTTCAGCAACTCTAGTAATAATCAGTTGATGGGATTGATGGACAGCGAGTGCGTGTTTTGTGTTTGATGTGTTCGTATAAACCAAGATTCGTTGGTTTAAAACTTAACAGTCAATGGCTATTTTGCATGTAATAACATAATGCAAGCTGGCAATAGCCTGTGTTGTAGCTATAGCAAATAGGTGACGAGTAAAGCATGTTATTTTAGTCCTTGAAGACTATGTTTCATATATATGCATAACCGTGAAAGGTATGCATGTATTTGCTGTTGTTGTACACACCACTGTGTCAGAGTCAGATTGGTCTAATCCAGTGATTGGCGGTATGAGCAACCTACATATTTTCGTTTCGTCCAACAAAACGCATATAATATATTTATTTATATATATATTTATGGGATGTTATTCTGAAAACGAAAATATATGGCTGAAATTGTGTTTGAGGTGACGTACAATGTTAACTTAAACACGTTATCAGTTAACTTAATCACGTTATCAGTTAACTTAATCACGTTATCAGTTAACTTAGTCACGTTATCAGTTAACTTAGTCACGTTATCAGTTAACTTAATCACGTTAACAGTTAACTTAATCACGTTATCAGTTAACTTAATCACGTTATCAGTTAACTTAATCGCGTTATCAGTTAACTTAATCACGTTATCAGTTAACTTAATCACGTTATCAGTTAACTTAATCACGTTATCAGTTAACTTAATCACGTTATCAGTTAACTTAATCACGTTATCAGTTAACTTAATCACGTTATCAGTTAACTTAATCACGTTATCAGTTAACTTAATCACGTTATCAGTTAACTTAATCACGTTATCGGGAAAGCTTCCGAAGGGACATAACTCTTGTATTCGTACATGTCTAAAGCAGTGAATGTAATCTAACAATGTTTTCTCGGAGTCCAGTATATCGGGAAGTCGTTTAGAATTAGATAGTCGAGATCATCTTTAAAGTGTGAAGGTCCCAAGACCAGATATGCGTTTGTTCAGGTTAAAGGCAGAGAGGTTTATATTTGTATTGACACCTTCCAAGTCCTGTGAATCAGCTGAGCATACATTCGGCACCACTCGCCCCTTTCCGTAGCCTCCAAGAAGACTCTTGATGCTAGTTATGTGCGAAAATACGACAAGCCAAATCAGAACCCGCGTAATGATTGCGGTGCTTGGATAAAAATAATCCCGAGTACTAAAATCGTTTATGGCGTTATGTCTTTGTCAAAAATCATGAAAAATATGTATCGTAGCTAACAGATGTGAAGTATTTAATAGGGATAATGACAGGGATGATGAGAGATTCAAATATACACGCACGCACGTGCATTTGTTTACATAACGGCTTTTTATGGGATCAATTGAGTGTACTTTTGACGATCTTGCGGGCTTTGTTTGGAGATTCTACGCGCCCTTTCAACATTTCTAGGAAACATATTTGTAAATCGTTACGTTATAACAATAATAATCATTAATCTACATATAACTAACTAACTAACTAACTTTAATCTTAAACATTGGGCTTATATTTCACATCTCTGAAGATATTTTATGTTGACTTGTTCGAAGTTATTCATACTATTTTCACCGTATTCATTTTAACATTGCACCAGGGGTATGGCAGCAAGGTCACACGCATGTTGAGTTTGAGAAATAATTTAAGTCAGATATAGTTATGGATTTAATGTAGCTGAATAACACGAATCGGTCTATCACTCACTCGATACATCCCGCTGCTCCCACAGGTCTGTTTAAAGGGGGATAACTCTTCACGGTCTCATCTATCAGAGCTGCTGCGTACGTGCACCAAGTTGGTTGGTTCGAATCTATGTTCGGCCAGCCTAGATGTCTAGGTCTGTGAGCACTACACACGTGCTCTGGGTTGTCACGGAACATGGTCAACATCTGAGACCCGCATCAATTGGCTCCCACATTAAGCTGACGCGCCGAAACAGATGTAGTGGTGTTCAAAGCGGGGGTAAACCAAACTCACTTACTCACTCACATTTGTTCTTCTGTAAAGACGGTTTTACAAACAGCTTGGAAACTCCTTTTTGTGCTGCATAAAAATAACCAATGTCGGCCTATTCTAGGAATTTATCAAAAATACGTTGAGATTCCATTTTTCTGAACAAAACTAAGTATGAATATATTTTCAATTTGAAATTTCTTCTTGAAATGAGGGATTTAGTTTTCCGGATGATGCACGTGGACTGAGGTGATGGTCTGTGCTGGGACACATGATGACGACAGTGACTTCATCAACGTGGTGGGCGTGGTCTTTCCCGTCAGTCTGAATCTGCAACTCCGGGACGTCAGGCTTCTCCTCCGGCACGTCCGACTGCGTCTTCTTCAGCACTACTACCATCAGACCACACACGGACGACACGAAGAACATGGAACCTGTAACGTGTTATCCCAAACAAAACATGTGTTATATTTTAGCACTTTCGAAAAGGAAGGATATATAGTCATGGTATTATACGGAATCAACCAATCAGCATGGGTATCCCGAGGTCGGCCAATCAGCATGGGTATCCCGAGGTCGGCCAATCAGCATGGGTATCTCGAGGTCGGCCAATCAGCATGGTTATCTCGAGGTCGGCCAATCAGCATGGGTATCTCGAGGTCGGCCAATCAGCATGGGTATCTCGAGGTCGGCCAATCAGCATGGTTATCTCGAGGTCGGCCAATCAGCATGGTTATCTCGAGGTCGGCCAATTAGCATGGGTATCTCGAGGTCGGCCAATCAGCATGGTTATCTCGAGGTCGGCCAATCAGCATGGGTATCTCGAGGTCGGCCAATCAGCATGGGTATCTCGAGGTCGGCCAATCAGCATGGTTATCTCGAGGTCGGCCAATCAGCATGGTTATCTCGAGGTCGGCCAATCGGTGAGGGGGAGGGGCGAGAAAGTTCCAAACTCAGGTATATACATGTACACATATCTGTATTTCATTATGGGTTGTACTGTCATTATTTCAAACCCAATCATAGAACAGTGATATTCGGGAATATCCAGTAGTAACATTGAGACATGTGTCACGTGTTGATTCCCGTGTTGAGGGGCGGTGGGGTAGCCTAAAACTTAAAGCGTTCGCTCGTCAGTCCGAAGACCCGGGTTCGATTCACCACATGGGCACAATGTGTGAAGCCCATTTGTGGTGTACCCCGCAGTGATATTACTGATATTGCTCAAACGGCGTAAAACCATACTCACTCACTGATTCCCACGTTGAAACAGATGCAGTAGTTAACCAGGAGTTAGACTTTGAAAGAATTCAGTATCACAGAGGCAGTGCAGACTAGAAGACCGTACAAATTCATAACAGTGATTATAAAAATAAAGACAATGGCCAAGTTCTCCAAACAGGTTTAGGCCGAGTATCAGGGTAAGAATGATCGCCACACAACTGCTGGTCCTCCTGTAACTTGAAATGTAATAGGGCATGTAAGTCTCACGAGACGATACTTCCGGTACCAGATTTCCGGTGACCAGCGTATATTCAAAACCAGTTCTGGTTCCAAATTGTGCAACCGCCAAATATGACTTTACTAGACCGGACTAAGTGTACAACCATCCTTGGCTATTACAGCTGTTGACAGTCGTAATACCTGGCTAATTGGGGGGATGGTTAGATCGGAATTTGTTATTCCTGTAAGGATTATATATCGGTTCCTTACTTTCAACAGACGACAACGATTCTTTACAACTGTGACACATTACAACAGCTGTGACAGCCAAGCATGTTTTTAGAAATAGTCCATTAAAATCACGGAAAGCGACCCATGCGGGGAATCCATCACGATTCTTCGTCTCAACGAGCGAACGCTTTAGCCATTTTAGTTATTCACAGAATCTATAGTGCATCTACAGACAATGTCTGCCTCCTACACACATATTTAGCTTTCCTAAAAGCAGTCGATAAAGTATTTGTCAATTAACAATATTTTGTATGTACTTTCAGCAGATATTTGTATGACCATGTATAAACGGTTTTGTGTATTTAATCAATACAATGCGATTCGCATTCGTTGTAATCGTTCACATTTGTCCAAAAAATATAACACCAGATGAGTTAATCATGATGTTGCTTTGTGTGAACTTTCAGTTCAAAATCACCTGCAATGTATTACTATCTTGTGTGTATCAAGGGGTGAATATTTGTTGTAAATGTTACAGAGTGCAAACCAGTAACCCCCGAGAGGTCAATCAGTGGGGACAGTGGATACTGTATATCTGTAAAGGTTGGTGGAAACAAGGGCTCACTCGAGAAGAACAACATCACATCGTCCCAAATTGAACATCTTTACAACTATAAGCACTTACCAGCAAAGTAAAAAGCCTCTTGATATTTCCCGTACGCTTCAACAATTACACCTGTCAAGGAAAATCACAGTGTTTTTTATGCCGCATGTTCCATCGTATCAATAATCTTTTCTGGAGCACACGATCCAGTGACTGACGCGTTGTACAGCATGAACCGTCACTGGGCCTCGTCACTCGGTTATTTCAGCTGCACTTGATGACAACCAGTGGGGTGCAGGGGACGTAGTCTGACCCGGTACCCCACAGGATACTTTGACTGACCACACTACGATCAGAAAACCATGATGGTCATTGTTGTATCAGGGTCCATGGGTAATCAAGCTCATCATCTTGAGATAAACGTCCGTATTAATGAATAGAAGAAGACATGGTACAGAAACTGGTATGAACTGTAGATCTGGGAGCACCCGGGCAATGTTCACCGAGCGCTCCATTATCGTAAGAGGATACAGACAGACACCAGGCGGTGATTTCCGGCTGGTGTCTGTACTAATGCATAGATGAACAGTTGCTACAGAAACTGTACTTTAGATCTGGAAGCACCCGGGACAATGTTCACCAAGCGCTGTACGAGGCAATAGGCAGACAACATACGGTGAGGTCGGGTTCGAACTAGCCCCTAGCAACCTATACTGGTCGTAAGAGGCGGGGAAATCTCGATGTACCCCGACGGCATGGTCTATTTCTCAAGTTAATGGCTGGTTGCATTGTAAACAGCAAACAAGCAAACAAATCATATCATCGTCTTACAACCAGGCTCAGCTCGAAACACTATAACTAGGATATACTTAACAAACTGCACCGCTGAGGATCCGAAAATTCATCCAATTGGATCCAACACAGCACCCACAGGGATCCGGTACTGCAGCCACAGGCCTCGGACACTGCAGCCACAGGCATCGAACACTGCAGCCACAGGCCTCTAACACTGCAGCCACAGGCCTCTAACACTGCAGCCACAGGCCCCGGACACTGCAGCCACAGGCCTCTGACACTGCAGCCACAGGCCTCTAACACTGCAGCCACAGGCCTCGGACACTGCAGCCACAAGCCTCGAACACTGCAGCCACAGGCCTCGAACTGCAGCCACTGCAGCCACAGGCCTCTGCAACACTGCAGCCACAGGCCTCTAATACTACAGCCACATACCTCGAACACTGCAGCCACAGGCCTCGAACACTGCAGCCACATGCCTCTAATACTGCAGCCACATACCTCGGACACTGCAGCAGCCACACTGCAGCCTCCTCGAACACTGCAGCCACAGGTCCTCGGACACTGCAGCCACAAGCCTCGAACACTGCAGCCACAGGCCTCGAACACTGCAGTCACAGGCCTCCCACAGGCCTCTAACACTGCAGCCACAGGCCTCTAACACTGCAGCCACAGGCCTCGGACACTGCAGCCACAGGCCTCTAACACTGCAGCCACAGGCCTCGAACACTGCAGCCACAGGCCTCTAACACTGCAGCCACAGGCCTCGAACACTGCAGCCACAGGCCTCTAACACTGCAGCCACAGGCCTCTTACACTACAGCACTGCAGCCACAGGCCTCTAACAGGCACACTGCAGCCACAGGCCTTGGACACTGCACTGCAGCCACAGCCACAGGCCTCGGACACTGCAGCCACAGGCCTCGGACACTACACCCACAGGCCTCGAACACTGCAGCCACATGCCTCTAACACTGCAGCCACAGGCCTCGGACACTGCACCCACAGGCCTCGGACACTGCAGCCACAGGCCTCGAACACTGCAGCCACAAGCCTCGGACACTGCAGCCACAGGCCTCGGACACTGCAGCCACAGGCCTTGGACACTGCAGCCACAGGCCTCGGACACTGCAGCCACAGGCCTCGGACACTACACCCACAGGCCTCGAAAACTGCAGCCACATGCCTCTAACACTGCAGCCACAGGCCTCGGACACTACAGCCACAGGCCTCGGACACTGCAGCCACAGGCCTCGAACACTGCAGCCACAGGCCTCTAACACTGCAGCCACATACCTCGGACACTGCAGCCACAGGCCTCTAACACTGCAGCCACAGGCCTCTAACACTGCAGCCGCAGGCCTCTAACACTGCTGCCACAGGCCTCGGACACTGCAGCCACAGGCCTCTAACACTGCAGCCACAGGACTGATACTGGACTGACAAGAGGCATCCCACACTTTGAGTTCCAAAGTAACTACGATGCCTTCTCCTCATGGGGATTACAATATGACCCCCAGCAATCGTATCTCCGTCACATGGATGGATAGTCAAGATTTTCAATCACTGGATTGTTAGATCCCGTCATACAGTTTGCAAAGGGTTGAACGTTGTGTTTAACAACAATCAGACGAACAAACACACAAATACGAACATATAGCTATAAGCACTTACTTGCTATGGGAGGTCCCACGAGAGTTCCTACTCCTGAGGTAAACATCGCAATCCCGTATCCAGAGGCGAGGTTCCTCACCCCAACGATATGCAGAGTGAGGGGGTTGATTAGCACCCAGCCCACTGAAGCATACAGGCCGAACATAAAGGCATACGCTACCTTCCCAACCATTGTCTTCGTCATCGGCCAAATGAAAAAGTCTATAGTTGCTATGACACCATATGTTCCTGAGAATAGAACAGAAGGTCCTATATTTGGGTCATTGGCAGCGAATCCCCCGAGAAGTCTTGCCAGGGCTCCTCCTATTCCTACCATGGAGAAGAGGAAGGAAGCTTCTTGAGGAGAAGAACCTTGTTTGATAAAGATGTCGGGGAGGAAGAGGTAGGAGATGAAGTTACCGACGCTGAAGGAGAACGTTGCCAACAGCAACAGGAGAAATGCTGGGTGGAACATCTCCCCTACCCGATCACATCGTCCACACAAAGAAGTAAGGATTCGTTGACAGACAGATTTCCCTGATTTAGCACTGACCGCTAACTCCGTCTCGAGATTCGACGGTCTCATGAGTGCCCCGAATTCCGCTGCGTGGAACGCTATTGCTCCCAAGAAGAGGAAGCATCCTTTAAGTCCGTAGTTGTCCAGCAGGTACTGAGTCAGTGGAGGGAGGAAGAAGGTGCCCATCCCAACTCCCGCCATTCCCACGCCAGTCACTAAGCTCACCTGTAACAACACGTAGATAGACAGACGTTTCGGTACCGTCAACAGAGAGTGCAAGATACAACATATGTCCTATATAAGCCTGTGGAATGATGAAAGCATTCAGTTTCCCAAACCCTTGATGTAATCCAAGATCAGACACTTCACTTTCTTTCACTTTGATGTTCATGCAAGAGGTAATTTATATTTATGAAACCTAACATGATTTCAGTGATTGAATGAAAAGTCAGTGCTCTATAACTCAGTGTAACTGAATGGGTTACAATGCTGCTGCCACAGAAGGTCACGTGGTACTCAGGTGGACCGGACACTAATTCACTGGACAGAGTTGTGTCCCTTGGACACCTTTGGTTCTACTTTTGAATCCAGATTATCTACAATTAAATCTATAGATTTTACTATACCAGTTAAAACAGTTTCACTGTATCACCCCACCCCACCCCACCCCCACCCCACCCCCAAAAAAAATCAAACAAATACATTACTGCTCGAAGCAGGACGTGGCCTATCTTACTCGCTCACTCACCTGATCCCGGAAGTAGAAGCCTAGAATGACGATGGAGCCGGTGTAGACCAAGCCCTCCCCCAAACCTAGAACAAAGACGATAGAGTGACCCCATTGTTTATCAGAAACAACATACTGATGTTGACTTTCATCCTCCATGGACTGAAAGTGACCTGATTAAAACTAATATTTCTATAATTGTGTGTACTTATCTCAGCCTAATCAGTCTTTTTTATGTTTGAAGCCCTCAGTCCATCTGCCATATAAACTGACACAATTTTGGCAGCGGTTTGGCAGTTACCTCCAGCCACAGGTCACAGTACTAAGTACAACATATATAGCGGTTTGGCAGTTACCTCCAGCCACAGGCCACAGTATTAAGTACAACATTTATAGCGGTTTGGCAGTTACCTCCAGCCACAGGCCACAGTACTAAGTATAACATATATAGCGTTTGGCAGTTACCTCCAAGTCATACTACATATATAGCGGTTTGGCAGTTACCTCCAGCCACAGGCCACAGTACTAAGTATAACATATATAGCGGTTTGGCAGTTACCTCCAGCATCAGGTCACCGTATTAAGTATAACATATATAGCGGTTTGCTAGTTACTTCCAGCATCAGGTCACCGTATTAAGTATAACATATATAGCGGTTTGGCAGTTACCTCCAGTCACAACTCACCGTATTAAGTATAACATATATAGCGGTTTGGAGGTTACTTCCAGCATCAGGTCACCGTATTAAGTATAACATATATAGCGGTTTGGCAGTTACTTCCAGCATCAGGTCACCGTATTAAGTATAACATATATAGCGGTTTGGCAGTTACTTCCAGCATCAGGTCACCGTATTAAGTACAACATATATAGCTGTTTGGCAGTTACTTCCAGCATCAGGTCACCGTATTAAGTACAACATATATAGCGGTTTGGCAGTTACCTCCAGCCACAGGCCACAGTATTAAGTACAACATTTATAACGGTTTGGCAGTTACCTCCAGCCATAGGTCACAGTGCAAAATCTAACATATATAGCGTTTGGCAGTTACTTCCAGCATCAGGTCACAGTATTAAGTATTTTATATATAGCGGTTTGGCAGTTACCTCCAGCCACAGGTCACCGTACTAAGTATAACATATATAGCGGTTTGGCAGTTACCTTCGGCCACAGGTTACCGATACGTACAACATATATAGCGGTTTGGCAGGTACTTCCACAGATCACCGTATTAAGTACAACATATATAGCGGTTTGGCAGGTACTTCCACAGATCACCGTATTAAGTACAACATATATAGCGGTTTGGTAGTTACTGCCGCAGATCACCGTACTAAGTATAACATATATAGCGGTTTGGCAGGTACTTCCACCGATCACCGTCTTAAGTTCAACATATATAGCGGTTTGGCAGGTAATTCCACCGATCACCGTACTAAGTATAACATATATAGCGGTTTGACAGGTACTTCCACAGATCACCGTATTAAGTTCAACATATATAGCGGTTTGGCAGTTACTTCCACAGATCACCGTATTAAGTACAACATATATAGCGGTTTGGCAGTTACTTCCACAGATCACCGTACTAAGTATAACATATATAGCGGTTTGGCAGGTACTTCCACCGATCACCGTATTAAGTTCAACATATATAGCGGTTTGGCAGGTAATTCCACAGATCACCGTACTAAGTATAACATATATAGCGGTTTGGCAGGTAATTCCACAGATCACCGTATTATCTCATGACGTTAAAGTACAATGTCAGCTTCCTCCTGCCGCGTCGAATGTAGTTACGATCTTCTCAGATACATCTCGTTTCGTATATTCCTGTTGAGGGGAGACAACTATTCAGAATAACACGAAGGTTCACAGCCGCCATGTGACCACGGTTCGATGCCCATATCGGGTGAAGTGTGTAAAGGCTGGCTGTCATTTTACTGACATATTGCATACACCAGTAAAGATAAACTGATGTGCAAAAGAAAGTACACAGGTTGTGTTTATAAAAATAACAAAACCTTTTGATGAAATGGAAAATGTATGTTGAAGCACACTGCAGTACACGTGTTTTATCAGCAAAATGACATTGTAACAATAAACAGCGATGAAGTGATGACCACTGCAGACGGTTCCTACGATGCTGGAAGGTCAAGGCTATTCCACGCAGCGGTCGGTAGGCCCATACATGCCAGCTGGACGAAGTCGTCTTGTCACTGTGAATCGGCTCACGCGATGACCCAATGATGTGGCTGCTGATGACGTTACCGTCAACATCCAGTTGGGTAGGTGAATAACCCGCAGATAGCGATCCTCTTGGGGTGTTGTGACTCTGGAACGTCCACTTCTGGGTCGATCACATGTCTGGCCTGTCGTACTGAAACGGTTATACTGCCGAATTATGATTTGTCTTGTGCAACCCAATGTCCTTGCAATATCGCTGTTGAAAGCACCCATTTGTGTCATTCCTTTGGCCCGTTCTCGTTGCGACGACGTCAATTTTGGCATTTCCTCGTGAGATTTCTGTCAAGTGATTGTTCAGTCTTCACGACAAACAGGTTTTATACTCTCTGTCAGAAACGTGCTGGTGCATGGGACAATAATCACAATTTTGCAAAAATTCGTGCAAAACACGTACAAATGTTTTTGGTTGCATTTTGGCAAATGAAACATGATGGTTGCGTTCTATACAATCAATGTATTTCAATAATTTTATTAGTTAGAACGCATATTTGGAATTGCAACAACAATTACACCTGTGTACTTTCTTTTGCTCGTCAGTTTACAAGTAAACAAATTTAATTTATCTCTGTCTGGTTCTTTCTGCATTCCCATCATGGATTCAAGCCCAGTACGAGTGAGGGACGACATCGCCAGCACGTAACGTCAGCTATCTAACCCATTCAGCCATCACGACTTCCACTTAAATGAAATTCCGACCACTGGTACACCAGATGCCATGCTCCGTGTACCTCTCTAACAACGAAACTTGGCACTATGCCATGACCGACGGAGAACGTGAGCCTAAAACTAAAAGTAGCGAGATAATCCCCTGTCAAGATGTAATCTCGTAATCACCTACCCATCTGCAAGAGGCGTGTCCCTACTAAGAACACATTCCTGTCCAAGCATACAGCCCTGCATTCCTTTTCATGCATATAATAAGAATAGGCTATTTATATAGCGCATAATTTTATTATATCTATGTATTGCCCTACCCTCCTCTTGATGCATATTGTCATACGCTCCTCTTGATTTACTCCCATTAGTTAGACATCCCAATTGACAGACACTGACTGGACTAGGATTAATTAGAGCATCACCCATACGTAAATGGGGATGTCCAAATTAGATATTTTAACCAGTTAGTTGAACCTAAGGAAAACTGCTATTGTTTATAAATATCTTGGAGTTATATTTGATGCAAAATGTTCTTTCAAATTATCTATATCAAATCTCTGTCAACAAGCTACTAAAGCCATTTTGTTTTACTCAGAATTCGAATGTTAAACTTATCAATACGATGTCAACTATGTCTCTTTAATTCAATGGTGAAACCGAACTTGTACGGTTGTGAAATTTCGGGATATTGTAATTTAAAACAAATTGCAAATGTACATATGCTTTGTGAGAAAAGTATTACATGTTTTATATTTTTTTAAATCTATTAATTACCTATTGTGTTCAAACAATCGTCAAAATATGCAACAAAAATGTTGATAACATGATTTTACACAATCGCACAAGTACAAAAATCGAAAATGTTGATATGATGAGATTTCTTTCAAGGATCGCCACAACGCAACAAAAATCACCTTCCAGTTGAAATTGTGCAGCAAAGATCATGCACTGTCTATCTATACACCTGGAACTTAATTAAACACCCCCCTATTTTCTGGATGATGAGAAACAAAACTTGCTGTAACTCTCTCACTATTCCAAAGATAGTGGAACCTTAGCTATTGTGAAACATACGATCTATTGGCAAATGAAAAACAAGACAATGATTCCAATACGTGTTGTTTTAATAGCGTAACCAATGTGATTTGGTCACTATTGATTCTTGATGAAAATAGTCACTGAACAAGTATGGTCGTAGCATTGTCAATGGCTGACTATTACAAGAAATGATGCACAAGGAATGTCACATGTTAACATCTGGTGGGTCTGGCATCAGTATCGGGTGTAACCCCCTCGTGCTTGGATGACAGCTTGAATCCTCCTCATCATGCTACTGGTAAACCTTCTGATACGATCAAGTGGCAATTGCCGCCATTCTTCATGCAAAGCAGCTTCCAGCTGTGCAAGATGCAGGGAAGGGGGTTCTCTCAACCTCACACGGCATCCAAGAAAGTCCCAGATGTGCTCCAAAGGATTCAAATCGGGGCTCATTACTGGCCAAGGTAATGTCATGATAGCCTCATTCTGGAGATGTGCGGTCACAGCACGTGAACGATGCGGCCTGGCGTTGTCGTCCATGAATATCGGATGAGTAGCAAACGGGTGGTTGTCAAAGTGAGGCACGACAACTGGATGGAGAATATCCCGGATGTACTGCTGACCATCAAGATTTCCTCGGACAGTCACCATTTGAAGTTTACAGTCGTGTGAAAGACAACCCCAGATCATAACCGATCCTCCACCATAAGGAACAGTAGGGTGGATATTCCTGGGCACGTAAGCAGTGTTTTTATGCCTCCACACTCTCATTCGACCATCTGTAACATGGAGGAGGAACCTGCTCGCATCTGACCAGTGGACCCTCCTCCATGTCCTCAGGTTCCACTGGCGACGGGCCATACACCACTCCAGACGTCGTCTCTAATGGAGATCAGACAGAGCAGGAGGTTGGCTGACTCTTCTGGACCTCATACCAAGTGCCCTAAGGCGATTTCTGACGGTTCTGGTGGATAATTGTCTGTAGGGTAACCACAGGCGCTTCAAAACCGAAGTTGTGGCAAAGGGTTCTCGCCTTACCAGACGTGCCAGGCTGCGATCATCACGGGCCGTTGTCTTCCTGTGTTGTCCAGGCCTTGGACGATCTCTCACATCTGTCATCTGATGTTTTCGGACAAGTCGGC